TACATACCTACTAATACAGATAAGTATATCATTTAAACGTATATTAAACATATGATCGTAAAAAAAGTACATACTGGATTTTTTAGGCAGGATCACACTCCAGAACGACAGTAAGAGCCTCTGGAGGTATGCGCGAGTGTAAACTGCGTACAATATATGGTATTGCAAGGTGTGTTGCTGACCATCCCATTCAGAACTCACTGGACAGCTTATGTACTAACACACTGCATTCATCTCCCTGACTACCCGCCTGCGCGAATGTCTTGCAGGTGAAATGGAGTTGGCCATAGTGTGGTCCAATAGACCGGGAGTCGGGGGCAGTGAGGACGGGCGAAGGGCAAGCCTGTTTGGGGATAACAGGAGCAATCTAGGAGACAACAGGAGTAGCATGGGCGACAGGAGGAGTCGCTTTGGGAGCATGTACGGAGATGGGAGTATTCGGAGTAGGCACGAATCTACTCTGAGGAGGAAGGACAGTCTAGCGAGTGTAGTGAGTAGGGCGTCGCGCCGGTATAGTGTAGTAGGAGGTAGGGACCAGACGGAGAGCCACGTGTCTGACCAGTTACGAGGGATGAATGCCATATGATGAATTTACCTACCGCGTTATGGGTGCAGTAGTGTGTATAAGAGCCGAACCTACGCTTGTGCAGGTAAAACGGTTGGTGGTCTGGTAGAGATAGTACTGACGCAGATGATTGTAGTGTAGTGGATAGTAGTAGGCTCACGGCGAGCGATGGGAAGAGGTGTGTGTATATAGATACAATGCGTAATATAAGCCAATTTAGAACTTAATTTAGGTGGAGAGGAGGTCCTCTGAGATGCACATATGGACTGATTAAAGACGGACAAGCAAAGCTTGCTGGATGATGTAACCAGAATAGAAAAACATGAACAGAAGTAAAGACGGAAATCAGAGAACGACACAACTTATGCACGTGTTTTGTACATCCTTCTGTAGCTGGATATATATGATATGTAGGCATGTATATATACACATTATATGTATACATATATATGTGTATATACAAAAATTTATATACAATATA